ACTGCATCTCATCACTGTGAGATGAACTGTGACTAAGTCTAAGTCATTCCATTTCTATCACAGCATCTGCAGTTTTCAGAAAGCTTTTGGCAAAAATCCCTCAGGCTCCTAAGGAAATAAAATTTCTATTGATACTTAATGTTCAGAAATTAATGATGGCATACACAATCACTTGCCACAACACAGGGAAGTTGCTGTTCTTCCAGGGCATCTGGGCTATGACCTGACAAGAACCAACAGGGACAGATAGGGAGTTTGCAAACAAAAGATTTGCTTTGTAAGGCCACAATTACACAAACTCACTCAAGATGGTGCACTCAGTACGAGTGATTACAGTTCAGAGCCTATGCTGCACTGCTAGCTGATTTTCATTTGAGTGAGGGGCTGAAATCACAGAGTAGATGAGGCTGAAAGAGACCTCTGGAGACCAAGCAGTCCAACACTCCTGCAAGCAGGGTCAGCTACAGCATTTTGGTCTTAGCCTGTATTCAGCTGGGGTTTTGTATCTCTAAGGAGATCTCCACAGTCTCTGTGGTCACTGTTTTACCTTTTTCACAGACAAAAAAGTTCTTTATATTTTGAGGTGGAATCTCCTTTGTTCCAGCTGGTGTCCATTGCCTTTTGTCCTGTCACTGGGCACCACTAAGAAAAGTCTGGCTCCTTTTTTGTCCATCCCACGTCAGGTATTTTTAGATAGAGAGATCTACACAAGATCCTTTCTCCAGGCTGAAGACTCCCAGCTCTTCCAGAGTTTTTGTACCATAGATGCTCCAGTCCTTTAATCACCTTTGTGGCCCTTCACAGGTTTCACTCCAGTTCATCCACATTCCTTTCACACCAGGTCACTCAGATCTGGATCCCACATTCCATGTGTGTCTGATCAGTGAAGAGGAGAAGCATCACCACCCCAGCTTGCTGACAACACTCCTCCTCTTGCAGGCCAGGACACTGTTGGCCTTTTTTTCTGCAAGGGTCAGCTGCTGGCTCATCCATCTTGGTGCCATCCAGGACCCTCAGATGCTACTCTCCAAAGCTGTGCTCCAGCCACAGCCTGTTGTAGTGCCTGGGGTCATTCTTCCTCACATACAGGACTTACTTTGCTTTTGTTGAACATCATGGTATTCCTGACAGCCTATTTCTCCAGCCCCTTTAAGCAGTAGCCTAACCATTAGCTGCACAGTATCTTCTCTTGCTCCTGATTCTTTTGCAAGTTCCTCAGGCTACGACAGCTTCCTCACTCAGTTTTGGACTGCCATCTTCCCTCCTGTCTTGTTCCTTTTTAAGGCTGTCCTCCCTAGGCTGGCCAACCTGGGCAAAGATGCTTTTGCCTCACACTTGAAACCTTCCAGGGCTCAAAAAAATAAAAAATCAAGAGATCAAATGAAAAAAATATTAAAATTACACAAAATAAAAGCAAAAAACCAGTTTTCAAATACTTTTTCTGAGTGATACAATAAAGTTTGAGTGATGAAGAATGTGATATGAGGGGTATAACATGAGATATATTTGTTTTACATGTATGTATGTTTGCAAAATGAACACATAAGACTTTTATCTTTGCTTAAAAGCCCATTGTGCAGATAGATGATTGAATCCCAGGTCCCCTACCCACTGTGGTCCTGTAACAAATGACGACAACTGTTAATATCTTAGCTCTGCTGGCACTGTCATTATTACTGGCATTATGTCTCCAAGGTCTTTATGCATCCCTACAATATGCCTTTATAATCTTCAAGTACAGCTTTAGACTGCATCATCTGCCAAAATCAGGTTCTGAGGCTCCTTATAGATCTCCTCATGTGAGCTCTATGTATGAATGAGCCAGTTAACTCAAAGGTAAAGTGGTATCTTTTAAGGAGATTTACTGTGAGTGGAGATGCATCATTATTTGTCGCTGTCAGCCTGAAAAGAGCTTAGTGTTGGTATCAAGGATACAAATAAGATGCAAAGTGGTTTTCGTTGACAGCAAAAAGCTAAACCTGTGTGGCTCAGGTTAAAAATGCAAAGCACATTTTAGAGTGCACTGGGTACTTAAAAATAAAAGAAAAAAAGAAAAAAAATATCATTTTCCCAGGGCATGTTACACAAATTTAGTCTAGAATAATGCTACATGTCAGATGCAGCCATGCTTTTGCAGCTGAATTTTAATGCTGCCTTTTCTTTCTTCTGTCTCACCCTACCAGGGGCCATTCTCCTTTGAAAACTACTTCTCTCTTACAGATTGCTGCTGCTACCTTGTCACACCCCCTCCTGCCTCCATCTGCCACTGCCTCCTCATGGGCCATCACTTCTCGCTGACTTCAGCCTGGGGAAGAGAAAAAAAAACCCCAAAGGAGCTCTACTTTGCATCCTACCTCTAATAATGCCATAGCTCTTCAGACAGAAACAGGGATACGTGTACATCTAAAAGAGTGTCTCTAAATAAAATGAGTCAAGCACAGTTCAGGATTACTCTCTCCACACAGATGAAGGAGGGTGAAAAGGCAAGATTTCCTTATGGTTCTGCTGTAGATCCCAGATGCCATGGTAGGGAACAAAAAGGCTCCTGCAATTTTCAATAGCCTCTGTCACGGCTGGCACCCTGCCAGCCTGTGCCAGACACCGGCTGCTGAGCCCACTGCGGATGCGGGGCTGGAGCAGAATGGCCCAAGGAAACCAAAAATGAAGAAAAGGCCATCAGGGCTGGAGACAAGGAGCCAGACAGAGTCAGTAGAGAAACAGATATTCAAGGCCATAAGTGGGTCAGGGGCAAAGTGGAGAAAGGGAAAGAAGGTAAGATCTGCAGTACTGCTATGCACTTCACTTTCTCCCAGTGCAGGCTCCCCAGCTCTTCCATGCATTTCCCATACCTCACTTTTAACTCCTAAAAGGGTTGTTTTACAGCAGCCATAGTGACTTCCTTTTGGGTTGTATTTTGCTGATGAAATTCCTCAGAACTTTTGCTTCCTCCAAATCCCACTTTGCCTCTCAATCTCTACTCTGTAGCAGCCTCACAAGGGAGAAAACTTCATCTCATTCCTGAAAGTTTTCAGTGACTGAAAACATCGTACATGGAACTATGGAGGAGAGCAAAAAAAAAAATTACCAGCCAAACACCAACTTTGTTAGAACTGTCTTTTCTCAAAATGCAGCAAGACATCTCCTAAATAAAACTATCCCTCACATACTCCACTTTCTATACAAAGCTGTCAGCTCACTGGACTGCTGTCCAGACAGGGCTCTGAAAAAGTGTTCTGAAAACACATGTTGCCTGGAAAACACAAGAAAACTTAAAAATAAAGCAAGGTAATAATCCTAATACACTTTTATTACACCTTCTGATAAAAACTTCAAAATATTCAGACCAGAATTTATTTGCAAGTAACAAAAAAGGCATTCAAATCCAGAGATTCAGCACACTATGCTCTCACTCTCTTCTCCAAGTTTGATCCCTGCTTATATATAGCCAGTCTCCTGCTGCTGTACGAGCACAGCAGGCTCCCAGCCTGCTCCCTGCTCACATGGAGAAGGCTGCCCTGGAACACCGCGTGCTCCCGGAGGCATTACCATAATCTCATTTAAGGCACGGAACGCTGGGGCCATGCTCAGCACCAGGAAAGAATTTCTGTAGCAAGGCAGAGGGAGCAGCGGGCATTTTGTCACCCTGAAAAGGCAAGGCCGTCCTGTTCTGACAGCCGCTGCCTACAGCTACCTCCTCCCTCCCCTTTTAAGTTGTTATGTGCGTGTAACCACAGCATGAAATGTCCTTCCTCACATTTCTAACAGAATTGGAGGCAGAGGTACAGCCATGCATTCTGCTCTCTCCATCCCAGCTGCCCATCTCCAGCAGACAGGGGGGAGCACCCTGCTGGATGGGAGCACCATGGGTAGGTAGGCTCCGTTTCCAAAGGCCTGCTTCTAAATAACTGTGCCATTTACCCGCTCTCTTTGCTGAGGCAGCAGAACATGGATATGCACTCCTTACAGGGGCCTGAGCTCACTTCTGGCATACAATAAATCAAGCCGAACAAGCACCAAGACATCAAATTGTAACCTGAACCAGCTGAGCTGGGGCACCTTTTTGTACTCCTAACAAACCTCTGTACTGGAAGCTGACCAACAGATAAAGAAAACTAAACTCTTACAGCACAACATCAGAATCAAAACAACACACACGAGAAAAACATAAGAACTACAGCTCAACAATCATCTTTCTCTATTCCCATCGCAAAATAGGTCCAGGATGGCTGCAGTAGAACAAGAGATAAATTGCAAGAGAAAGATGAGGACACATCCTTCACCCTCAAGACTATTTTCTCATTAGTACATAATATTTCAATTCCATTTAAGATCCTTGTTTTTATGGTACCAGATCATTTGATTAATCTGAAATTAGTCTAAAATAACTTCCTCTGAAATACTTTTCAGTGTAATGCTTTATCTCTTGATTAAATATTGTTCAGCAAAGAACTTGATACGTGGCATCACTGAGCATGCTGTACTAGAAATCTGGTTAATTAAGGGTTTTTTTTATTATGTCATTTTCAGAAAACTTGAAAGGATCCCAAAGTCTAAAATTAAAGTACTACATGAGATTCTTGAGTGGCCCGTTCTTGTCCACCAAACGCAAAATAAGCCGCCTGTATAGAAACCATGTTTTTCTGGCTGTGCAACCCCAGAAAGCTGCTCCTTCCCATTTCCCCCAGCCTGCTCACACCCCACAAGCAAGACACAGTTATTCCACAGGATCTCTCCTCTTCTCTTGTTCTGGATGTTACACTTTGCTCTTTGAAGACACACCTTTGCGTCAGATCCTGGATGAATTGTTTCCTGCTGGAAGGGATATGTTAAATTTTTGCCCCAAGACGAGGCTGGCAGTGATGAAGGAGGAGGCTCCTGAAGCCCATCCTCTGACCCACTGCAGGAGAACAGTGCTCATCACTCACAGGCAGAAGTCAGGACAAACAAAGGGCTGTTTGTACTGCATCTCCCATCAGCCCTCCCTCCCTCTTCTCATCCCTGCTAGCTCTAGCTCTCTCTGGGTACATCTCAAAAGATACCGCTGCCAAGAAAGTGGAAGGGAGTGAACCAGAAGATAAAGGTACGTTTTGCTCCTGAAATTATCCTTGACTACCTGTTCCTTCTAGTTACAGACTACAGAATTCGAAATACATATGGGAACATGCAGAAGAAGATTTGGGAGAAGCTGTTATATTGCAGGCAAGAGGTACCATTCAAGACAGTTGCATGGCTGGGATCCAGATCAAAATAATTCTTTTACTATCTTGCTTTTCTTCGAAGTTGGATACTACATATGAACATCTGAAGTCACTAAATATACTATATTGCCTTCCAGTGCTCAATATAATATGCAGAGAGGTGTCTTCACGATGAATTGCTGTCTTAAAGAAAACTAATTGGGGTTTAATGAGAACTCAGTTTCTGGAAAGAATCATGGTATTGATGACAATTACAAAGCAGTAATTCACAGAATTCGTCCTCAGTGGAATAGTTGCTGTCCTTACAGTGCACCAACTGTTCAAGCAAAATTGATTTAACAATTTTTTTAAATGGAAAAAATTCTTCAGGATATTATCTGTTATGCAGTTCTTGTGTAATGATTTTTTAGTAATGCACTAATAAACCTAAGTACTAACACCTAAATACTAAATACTCAGCATTTTAAAGGTGGTTGTGGAAAGCAAACTTGACAAATAAATAAACACTAAAATACATTTTTATGTGAAATAATTTTAATATATATATATGCTTTTGAAGTGCAACTTGTTAACCTGGCACATACCACTGGACAAAGTGGAAAAGAACATACACCAAAAGTGTACCAATTAATGTATTTCTTGCTTTCAACATTAGGCAACTAGAAATACAACCTATTTGAGGAAAAAAGAAGGATATATTTAATGAGGGATTGATATTTTTAATGGTTGATAGACCAACCTAAAAATATTTCTATTTTCCCAACCACGCAGGATCTCTAGAAGTGCCAAAATACACATTTTGTGCCATTTCTCAGTTTTCTCTCTTTCTAACACCTGAGCTCCTACTGATACTGTGTGACCTTTAAAGGACATCACTTCTCATGAACTATTACCCTGCTGTTCTTGGACAGGGAGGCTGAGACTTGGGGTTTTCTTTTCAGTCTGATTACCTCTGCATCTAGCGGATCCAAAGACTGGATGGTGCCAAATTGCCTGGCAAGGTAATTCAAACACTTTCAGCTGAACAAGCAGAGACAGCACTAATTCCTGACTCATCATGCATATTCCCAAACTAACCATTTTCCTTTAGGAAAAGCTCCAAATTATTTCAAAGCACTTGTATTCCCAGGTGCATTTGGTGTTAAACCTTACATCACGTCAAAATAATCAAAATAATTAACTGAAAAAGAATTTATGCACATGCCAGGAGCTCATTTTCAGTATTTTTAGATGGCTTTACTCCTGCTAGAATTTGAAATTATAAAATCTTGATAGAGCAAGCTGGTCAGGCTTAGCATGCCTGGCATTGCTGTCTTTTCAGAAGGCTTTATAAAAGAAAGAACTGTAAGAGGATGCTTGCTGGCAATGAATGAGTCTCTGAGCCACATGAGCGATTGGATTTGTTCATGACATTTTCCTGACTTGTTTTATGAGAAAAGCCTATCTTCTGTGCTATGCAACAGCAGACAATGCTTTTGACACTCATTTTGAAATAAACATGCACATACTAGCTCTGCTCTTTACCCAGGCAATCAGTGACACTCCAACATCTGTTCAACTGCACTCAGGAAAAGAAGTTGCAGCAGTTTGTCAGACAGAGATGCTGCATCTGAAAGGTCTGCATCGATCCTGTGCAGGGAGCTGATGAAACACTTCAGCTCCTTGGCAATCTGTCATCTGCAAATAGGGACTGTTCTCCCCCAGGAAAGAAATACCCGTTTGAAGAAAGGTCTTTTGACATAAATTTTCTGTTTGCTTATGATCTGGGAAAAAACCAAACCAAACCAAAACCAGAGGAAATATTTAAGCAGAAACAAAATTATAATTTTTTTTCCTGAATAATAACAATGTTTACCACTGGTAAAATGCATAACTGGTCAGAGGAGCTGTCTATCCATAGCTCTCCAGCATGCTGACTTAACTAATACTGATTTTGGCACCCACCCATAGAAACCCTCCTGATGACACACTACAGCAATATCCTCTTATTTTTTTAAATGGCAAGTAGTGAGTTACAGAATCACCTTAAAAACTGTAGGTCGTGATTTTTGAATCTAGCAATTTGACAGTGTATAGAGAATGCACCTATTTTCAGGATGAATGTGCCTATTTTTCAGGAAGTGAATTCCTACAAATTTTGGGGAGATAAGTGGCTGGCAAGAGATTCAAATGAGCATTTTGGTTGAACTCCAGGTAGGAAAAGATACCTGAACTATTAGAAATTAAAAAAATGTTCACAAGAGCAAGGTATCATGAATGCCTCATCCTCAGTAGAAGAGCACAGAATAATCCAATCACAGGAAACAAAGGCATAAACCCGCTGCTTCCTTATTTTCTCTTTCATGGAAATTTTCTTCCATTAAATACTTAAATAATTAAGCCAAACTATTTGAACAGAAGATTAAATTGTACTCTCTGACACTGGCATTTATCTAGGTATAGTATCAACAAATCTTTTCTCTTTAAGCATTAAACTTCTCTGAGCAGAACCCTCATAACTAAAGTGTTTATACTCCTACAAAATAAAACCATTAATATAATAATAGAGATCCTACACTCAAGTCTGAAAAACACCAGGCAGTGTTTACTTTATTTGAGTAGTAGTTTTGAGGTCTAAAACTAATAAAGACAATATGTTATTCAATACTGCACTCTGAGGTAATTAAAAATAGATCCCCAAGGCTCCATTACTAGTAGTTTATAGGAATCTTCTACTCAAAAGTTCCCATACAAATTCATGGAAACTAAAAGGAATTATTCAATGAATTTTGCTTCTACAACTGAAGCAAAAAAAAAAAAACCAAAAATCCAGAAGAGCTTATTCTTACTTCACTCATGGTCTTTAATATATTGGCCACTTTTTAATGTTTTATTTCGCTACTGATGTAAATAAACCCCCAAGTTTGAATATAAAAATAAATAACAAAAAAAAAAAAAATCTTTGAGATGTTGCATTTTATCCCTAATATGAATCTAAATTTCCAGATTTTCTTAAATGGCGTTTTATTAATTGGCTGAAGAAATGGAAGATAAGATAGCTATGGTGGCAAGAAAACTACCTGAGAAAAATGACTAAAAAATACTGTAGATTAATATATTTAAAATTTTACTGTTTGTTTTTCAAGTGTGATCTCAAGATTTTTACAAAGTAATTCATATTGTAGTCACATCTACAGCTGGCATAACACATTTTTTTCCTTATCTAGATAATAGCTCTACAATCTTAACTTCACCTTTGATAGTCTTTGATTAGGTATTGTCTCACACCTTGTTATTTTTGGGTTAGCCCATTCTAATCTTCAGCCCCACAATGAAGACCAGGGCTGGCCCATAACGTCATGTCAGGGCATCAGTTCCAGAGAGCCAACAAGATGAAGGACAGCAAAGTCCTCCTTAACTCTCACACAAGAAAAATGCCTACACAGGGAGAGTGCTGGGCATTCTTCATTCTCATTTTCAGAGCAGAAATCCTATTTAAATTCAGTTAAGATAACAGATCCATTTTGTTTGAGCATGAGGAAAGGTAAAAAACCCACTCTCCTAATAGCAATAAAAACTCAGTTGAAACGTTGTTCAAAAACCTAATTTAAAAGTGAATGGAAGTTCAAGGATCCAAAGCTTTGTGGCATGGTCAGACTGTGCAAAGCAGCACAGAAGCAGAGCTCATTTTAAGCAAAACAATGGAAAGCCTAGTGGCCAGCAGGAGAGTTTTGCAAGGGATAATTTATCCCACCTTTTAAAAAGCCAGTTAAACCATAATGACCTCCAGTAGCAAGACTCAACTAAGCAGTCTGCAGTACTAAAAAAACCCAATAAAGAAGATTCTCCCTAATGCTGTATCATACCAGAGCACAGCACGTGGCAGCACTGCAGACAGCTCCGGCTTCCTCAGCTGCTTAATGCCTCAGTTTCTCACACAGCCCACGACACAGGATTCAATCAGCAAGTAGTTTTTCCACAATTTTGATGGGGAAGGATACTATTTATTTTATGTGAGTGACTCTTGTTTTGACAGGCAAAATGGCCAGGGAGGCAAGGACACACACCCAGACATCTCCCCCTGGTTTGGTAGCAATCGATACAATCACTTACATCTCCAAAAAAGCACGGCCAACTCAAAGCAATTTTCTCAGGGTGAGAGGCCAAAGAAACAACAAAATTGCCAGCATCAGAAGCCTCAATTCACAATGAAAGGATTCCCAAGGTTGTACAGAAAGCAATGAATATCAATTCTGCTGCGATATTATTTACCTCCTAGGAGAAAACACTCTCCAGCACTCAGGCTCAAATGACCGAAACTTCATAGGAAAGAAAAATGCAAGGCAGGAAGCAAATGAAGGAAAGAGCTCTGTTCAGCAGCAATACTGTGTCACATACCTCGTTTCTCTTTAGCACCCTGCTGTGGGAAGCTTGGCAAAAATGAAGATGATCTGGGTGCTGCTGCTGCTGCTGCTGCTGAGCACCCTCCCGGGCACCCCCGCGGTGCCTTCCCGGCGCCCTTCTTGTTACAAGAGGGCCCTCAAGGACCACAGCTGCCACACCATCCCCGAGGGCAAGGAGAACCTCCGACACGTGGATGATGGTCTGCAAGATCACTTCTGGGAAGGCAAGGGCTGTGAGGTGATCTGCTACTGCAACTTGAATGAATTGCTCTGCTGCCCAAAGTAAGATCACACTCATTTCATGTAAACTCGCATAGCTCTTCACAACTGCCCGTTATATTTCCATCATTTTACAGTTTCCATACATGGAATAAGATATCATTTTAAAGCAATTCCTCATTTCAGATGGTTTGAAATTACTCAAGATATAGCCAATTTTCTGTTACTGTCAGTTTTGAGGATTTGTTTTTCAGGGGCTCACACAGGACTTGCTTAGCATATTTTGTAAACCTCCCTGTCCTATTGACAGGGACTTCAGCATTTGAATCACCCAACTTTTGACTGCTCTGTTTGATCCCAACTAAGAATAACTACATCAAACATTCACAGCATTTTACAATTAAGACATTTTCAGGACCACAAAAAAAACCTATTTCATTTCTGTTCCATGGAAGAGAACTGTACTGCTGTTCTAAAGTGCACACACATAAGTCAGTTGAACAATTCTGTAAAAATAGCTGTTAAAAGCAGTACAAGCAGAAAAAGCAAAGGAGGGGCACAGGGGTTCACACACACTTGTGAAGGCAAGGCAAAGACTGAGCCCAAGAACACCAACACCTTCCTGGCTTGCTCACACTGCTGACAAAGTTGAACAGTGAAGTTCTCACTGAACTTTGGTTTTTGTTGTTGTTACATAGAAAGAACATAACTGAGTTAAATAAACACCATCAGCCCATACTTGTTTTAGGTAATAAAATGTATTAAGAGATATTATTTCATTCAGCTTTTCAGCAACATCTTTTCTTCAGTAAATTTGGATTGGAAATATCAGCAGTTCAAAACTTACTAATACTTCAGAGGCACCAAAATGTGATGGCATTATATAGGCAAGCAAAAATTCTTTTTTATATGTGCTTCTCTTAACACTCATTTCTCAAGTCCCCTAAAATCCAGTAAAGGCAACTTTTCAGCATTCCTGTAGGGGACTCAAGTTGAACCAAGCAGGAAAGACTTCTGAAGTTAAAAATCTCACATTCAAACTAAGAGCAGGGTTTAAGTAAGATTTTCATCTTTCCCTAAAACCAGATATGGTGTCCTCACCCTGAAGCACACTTTGGGTCTCTAGCTTCAACCTTTGAGCAGCATAGTAAAGCTCTTCCTTTGATACAAATACAGAAGAAAATACTCCTTCCACCATCCTGAGGTACACAAGACCTGTTTTGCATCTGTGCTCTCGGGACAAACTGCACTAAAACAGTATGTCTGCACACACCAAAGTCCTTTATTTTGATCATATAACCTATTTGGTAAGTTTATTTTCTCAAAGTTAAAATAGCAGGGTGGAGTTCTGCAAGCTGGTCAGCCAGTGAAGGTCATTGCTCCCACAGCAGGCTAGCAGAGGTAGAAATGCAGTATCTTCATCCAGATCTGCAGTTGCATTTGCATTGCTGGAAGGAGATCCCAGAAACACAGTAATCCCACATACATCATGATCCATGCTAAAAAATATCCACAGCAGGAAATGCATGTCATATTAAAGCATGAATAAACTAGTGATCTAATTGTTTAAACATGTGATCCTATCTTTCAGGGATATTTTCTTTGGACCAAAGATATCTTTTGTGATCCCCTGCAACAGTCAGTGATTCAAGTCTGCAAGTGAAGATAACAGACATCATTCTACGATCATGTAATAATGTTTTCAAGGGTAAAACAAAATTACCACCAACAAAAAAAACTTCCTTTCTAATCACAAGCCACTGCCTCACTTTACACTGTAAAAAGAATTTCCTTTCTATACCTTTATGGAATATCAAATACCTAAGATGTTTTCTTTTCAAATCTGGTGCTGACCTAATTTCCATAAAGCCATTTCCATGGTTTAACAGACTGTACAAGCTCTTAATGTAGCCTAATATTGCATACCCCAGCAAAAAGCATAACTCTTCTTACTCAGCATAATATCTTTAGTCTGGACAAAGAAAGTTCAAGCCTAAGCCTTCATGTTGTTAGGAACATGACTCTCAGAGCAACTTATGGCAGTGCAGCTTCCTATTCTATTACTGCCATCGCACTTTTAATGTAATTTTAAGCTCTAGCCACTCAATCCCTGGCACTTCCGAAGAGAGGCTCCCATGTTCTGTTTAGGCATCTTAAAATACCTGCACATACAAAAGGCCTGTATTTCCATATTTGAAAGTATTTCTCTGGAACAAAGCAATAGTAAAAATTGATATTAACAGTACTGAAGCACAGTTGGGTCTTAAGTCTAACTGGTCACCTGCCTTGACTATGCAATCTCTAAACCCTTAAACTGCTTAATCTTAGCAGTGAACATTTAAACATATTAGAACAACAAATTTTTAATTCAAATTTTGAAATACAGTACTTCAAAGTAAGTTAAAATGCTGGCTTTTTTAGGCTAGCCCTGTAAGGCAACAGCTACAGAAAGCACAGAAATAATCATCTTCATATTTAAGAGGTATTGTGATCTGAGATAGAAACAGAGACATAAATTTTGACCATTTTTCTGTTACGTGGCAATCTGTATTGGCAGGTGTTGAGAGGTGACCACATAATTTTAAGCAGAGTCACCTGAACAAGCCAGGCTTACAGGCAGCAAGCCTGACTTGCTGCTTTACACATATAAACTCTTCAGCTATCAAGCCAGTCACATGGAAAGTGTGCAGTACTGAAGGAACTGTGCAGTCCTCTCTACTCAAAAAATGCACTGTTCACCTAATAATCTTACACGTTGGCCCAAACTGCGACCACCAGCTTCCCATGCTTCCTTCATGTGTCAGTATGAAATATCACCATGACTGTTCTTCTTGTTAGTAAACAAGGGTTGGATACTGGATGAGGTGGTGATTATACACAGCCAATAATAAATGTTTCAAGTAAATTTTTTAAACCCTTGTTTGTGTAATTATTCAAGTAGATTAATTTGGGCTTCCTACCAAATAATCAATTGATAGTAAAATAAACCCCATAACTCTGGCAACCCAGTGAAAATATCCCAAGTTACTGCACTGTGAAAAAAACCCCCTATGGTATGTGCTCTTCTGTAAAGTCCTCTACAAGCTTCTAGGGTAGGTAAACTTCTGTTTGTGCCATCTAGCTTCTACAAGAATCATGCTGCATGTGCCTGGCATTCACAGCTTTGCGAAACAGCTGTAGCAAAAAAAACCCTTAAGGCAGATACAAAACTAGGTACTAAATTTTGTGGCTTTCAGTTAAATTTCTTCCAAGACTCCTGGAAAATCCACAATCCAGAATCCAAAACTTTGCACTTCCCACATGCAGCAAGATAAGAGTCACTTAAGTTACTACTTTAAAACTGACTTTCCATAGAAACTTGCTTTTGTTTCCAAAAAAAAAGTTTGTTTTCCCCACTCTTCTACAGGTCCTGCCAGGCCTAGGTGAAAACATTCAACCCTGTCATACACTCAGAAAAAACCCCTTTATCCTTTGGATATCCTATCCCTGACTAGGTTCCCTGGCTTTTTATGCAATTTGCACTTTGAAGGTAAGCAGCTTGAATGTGTGCAAAGGACATTTAGTAAACAAATTGACAGTCCCTGTAGTGAAATGGCCATGAAAATGTATCTTCAAAGGAGCACCAATTTTAGCTGTCACCAGCTACATATCACTGTCTTGAACTTAGGCCAGCACAGCAGAACTGCATTGTGGAAATACATAAAGCAGTACAAGTGAAAGAAATCATACTACTGGGAGATATTGGGAAAGCAGCCAGTTTGAGGTTAGGGTTTATCATCACTCAGTTCTATGCAAGCGCCACAGGTCAGAAAAAGCAAAGGGAGGCATCTTAGTTGTAGTGATGACTGCAGAGTAGTAATTTTCAAAAGAACTCGAAAGACTAACATCAAGCAGATTAGATCACAAACATACTGCTCTCTTATTTTTCCCAAATTAAGAGAAAGCTTATAAACATCTGCTAAGGTTGGGAGTTGAAATGCATGCTAACTGAACAAGCTGAAGCCACATCCGCCCCAGCTTTAAGATGAAAACTATTTTCCCTCAGCTTTTTATTCAGCCTATGTGCACAGCTTTAAGCAGAAAGAAATCATATTCCATACACCACACATTTAGACTGGCACAATAGTTGCAATACAAGAAGTCATTCATAATACCATCTTCAACATCAGAGTTTTCTAAGACAATCAATTAAAAGCCTAAGTATTGCTGGATATTATTCTCCATAAGTTACCATGAGTTTTGGGTTTATTGAAAGGGGGTTATTCCTTTTCAACAGGCCTGAGCTAATCCATGCCCTGAAAAAGACACAGTGTGCCTGTTAGGAGAGGCTGCATTGACCCCACACAGGCTCAACTCTCATTCTCCAATTAAGTTCTTAGCAGCAGTCCCCGCAGACAAATGGAGAAGGCAGCAGGTAAAGGATTTCTTACGGAGTCAAAGGACTTCTCAGCACAGCAAGCTGCAGCAGTCTCTTCATCTGTACTTACAGCTTTGAAATTCGAGAGCTGCATTTTTTTCCATTTTAATACAGGAGCAGGAAGGCCTCAGTGCTTGCAAGCACGTATCTCAGCAATGACAAATGAATAAACAAATCAGAAAATCCTCCAGTACTTGTTTCCAGAGGGGAAAAAAAGAAGTGTTACTCAGCCATTTCTGCCCAGCTAAGAACAGAACTGGCACTTAAAGCCTTTTACCTTAGGAAAAAGAACCTATTGCCAAGTCTGCTACAGCTTTTTTTTTAAAGGCATTGCATCATGAGCACTTGAGATACATTTATAAATACATCCTTGGCACGTGTTAATTGAAAAATACTTTAATATTAATTACATAGTTCATCAAAGCTTAACTATTAGGTACAAGTATCATAGAATCACAGAATATGCTGAGCTGGATGGGACCTGTCAGAATCGAGTCCAACTCACTAAAATTACAGACACACCCATTTGAGCAACAATATCAGTGATATTTATTTAAAATACTTTTGCTGGGGAAATTTGTTTCATAAGAGATGGTTTTCAAACAAATCAGCAAGGTTATGAAAAATAAAACAGACAAACTCTCCCAGGAGAAAAAGTTACAAAGAAAGCTTTTGCATATCAACAAAACCTCAGTCTTTTCATCTGCAGCCTGAGTCTCAGTCCCAACCTTTTCTGCCTAATGAATCCCACTATCCATCTTTAGATCTGGTTTGTTCTTGTCATTCTTCACTGAGTAGATGAAGTATGTTAAGGTGTCCTTTTCATTCACTGGAATTGTCCTAAAGTGGCAGCCAATTATCTATAAAGGAAGAATGCAAGGAAATTAAATAATCACTCTTACATGCAAAAAGTGAAGATTCATATTTAAATGTACTACATTAAAGTTTAAAAGACTGATTAAGAAGCTTACAAAAAAGGAAATTTTGGCTCCCTTCAGAAGTCTTCAGTAGTCATAAAAAGGTAAACAGGAACTATTTTACTGATAACTGTGAACTAAATGTAGCAGATTGTATCCCTAATTTCCAAAAACTGAGAATTTTTTTTTTAAAGTTGAGGATTTTTTCAGGGAAAAAGCCCCTCAAAGCTATCAGAACAATCATGGGACTACTATTACATTTGTTTAGTTAGAGCTTGAATATAACAGGTAATGACTACAGAATATCAACAGTGACAGCACAATTATGAGAGGCTACTGCTCTCCACTCAACTTGGGAGATGGTGTCTGCATCAAATCACATACAGAAACCTTTAACACAAGAATGACCAGAGAACTATAACTGAACATTCAGCTCTTCAAAACAAAGCTATTAATGAAAATTCACCATGCTGTAACCATTGAAATATAACAATCCGTAAGCAGTTCTTGAATCACTTGTCATTTCAGCAGTTCTTCCCTTCATCAAAATGAACACCAGCTTTAAAAGAAAGTTGCAAAATATTGTAACTGAATCTGTTATCTGGCTCTTTGCCAGACTGGTAGATTAAAAGGATGAAGTGAAAAACATGGGACTGCTCACTTAAGCACCATGGGATATATAAGAATAAATGTTCAGCCTAACTAAAAAGTTAAGAAGCTTTCTAAACTCTACCCCAAAAGCATTCACAGAGAACCAGCTTGACACAGTAATTTGAAGTGAACTTTCAGTAACAGCTAGAGCAGTGTCTGTGGTATGTTAGGACAGATTACAAGGAGTCAAATGTACTGTATATTAAGGAAGCTCTGGGGCTATGGCTCACAAATACCTGCAGGTCAGTCAAATCAAGCATGTGGCAGAACAGCTTTGCCCATGCACACCATGCAGCATTGGAATAACCAAGTGCAAGTATCATATGAGATATACCTAAAGCAGTTGTGCAAAACACCAGTTGTGCAGAACAAAAACTGCCTGTGCTTTTTCAATTCACAGTCCTCCTAATTCAAGAGCTAACCTACATATAAGAAAATGGAAGACTGATTTTGCATTCTTACACTTAGTGGCAGCAGGACTACTCTTTTACAGTTCAGCCTTGAGATCACCCATACCTTTAAGAGCCTTGTTTTTAATCCACACAGATTAAGGAGAGATGAAAACACTGTCTGCATTTAAATACAGCTGAATGTATCACTGCATAAAAGTGAAAAATCAGTAGCTATACCTTCCTGTTAAGATCACCAGCTCTTCCACTTACTTACATCAATATGCTGTGACTGCACCTTTGCAGTACTAAAGAATTCCTTTAAAATTGCACTCGTGCGAAGGAAAGATGCTAACATACAGCTGTACTGACATGCAGCTTCAGCACTTTTGGAAACAGTAAATTCCATGTAATTCCACTTTTCTGGCAGTAGGTTCCAGTGGTTTTAACAGAATTAATTATCAATAGAAGCATGTTTTTTTCAGGTTTCTGTACTTTACATATACAGAAACCTATATTTGCAGTAACTAGCTTTTTAAAGCAAAGTCTGAACCTCACCAGAACTTCACTGACAGCTCTCAGTTTCTAGCTCTTTTCAGCAGGACATTTCAGGTGAAGCTGTGATTGATGCACAGACAGAATAAATCTGTGATTCTATGATATTCAGGGGCATGAAGATCATATTACTGCTCCAGCTCAACACTGTGCTTACAAGCAGCATACACTCATTCCCTTTTGGAAGCTAAGAGTCCCTCCTCTGGAAAGAGCTTTTACTTTTGATTTACTTGGCTCAGGAGCTGTGGCCAATGAAGGAAGCTAGATAAGCAGCTCCCTTTTGTTCTCCTAAAATCCAGATTATATAGGCACTTTACGCAAGGATCACAGTGTATAGAAAACCACATGCCACAGCAAGTTGCATTTTCTATTATGGGAAACACTCATACATACTTCAACAAGCTGTGCTTTGTTAAGTCCCGGTCTGGTCTGTAGCTTGAAGTGTCTTTTGTACCTTCGAAGTGTGTTTACTTGTAACTGATATAAATCAACCTAGAAGAAAAGAGGGGGAAGGGGAAGAAAACAATCTAATATAACTGAAAAAAAAATTCAGTCATTAATAGTTCGCCTCGCATAACATTTTGGAAACTCACAGATATGCAAGTGTAAACAGTCAGCTCAGCAGATGTCATTTTGACAAAAAACAAACCTTCCAGCAGAAAGGAAAATAGCCCAGCTCAGTTTAAGAGTGATTTGTTGTTACTGAGCATGCCTGTACCTCCCTGTAGCTGTGGACATTATTTTGATTTCACTATTGTACTTGCATCCATTCTGGTTTTTTTTTGTTTGCTTCCCAGTTCCAGCACGATAACACCAAGCCCAGCAGCAACTTTCAAACAACATCTATAAAGATGCTGATCCAAAGGAGGCCCCTATAGTGTAAATTCAGCCATTAAATCTTATGTAGATTACATACAAGACACCATGCATCATGAAAGACATCTGCACCATGAAAGAGCACATGTTAGAATCAGGACAGAGTCTAGAGCACAAGCATTCTTGGCTTGCTCATGCTCTCCAAATGTACCCCTGCTACACAAGCAATATGCAGGAGTTGTGTGCATGGGCATAAATGTCCAAAATTCTTTCTCAATGTCAGTCAACAGTTGAGAGAATTACACAAAGTCCTGTCAGGGATACAAATACACAGCCTTAATCCAGCACTCCGTCAGTTTTGAATCCTATGTACTCCGATCAGTCACTTCTCCCAGCAACACCTTACCCTTCCCATCCTCCCTGACAACCTAAGAGACCTTAATCAGATGACTGAGTGGGAGAGCAAGTTCAGAAAGCAGGCTGAATGAGAAATTCTATTAGGTCAGTTGCAATTACAATAGTATTCTCCAAATTCACTGTATTAAAGATTGATGAAGGCATTCACTTTTGCTTTAAATTGATTTAACAGCCTCACTGCAGAACATTTAAAACAGCAGTGCTACTGCACACTTGGCAACCTGGCGAGACCTGCATGATAAAGGATGGTATCTTTTGTTGTTTCTAAAGTTTACATGGCATTAAATTACACTTCCCAAGTCACAGTGGGGAAGCCACCCTTGAAGCATCATGCAAAGGAGGAGCAGCAGCTTTTCACCAAGCCCCAGAAGCTACCAGTACTGCAGGAGTTTCTTTTCCTCCTGTAGGAAGAGTTTCCAAGCAGTAAAGATGGTCATGACTGAGATGGAGCAGGAGAGCTTTACAACTCTTCAGAAGAATGATACTTTTTTCTGTAGCAAACTGGGTAATAATTGAAAATAAAGGCGGTCAAGGGCAAACAAGTATCTAAGGCATACAGGAATTACAAGGAATGAACATACTGCCCTTGTCCAAACAGCCAGCTGACACTCCTCAAAAACAGTTCCCGGTTTTCTTTTTTGTAATAATACTGTTAAGAAAAAAAAGCTTGTTTCTTGTTCTGGAGATATCCATCAGTTGTGAAATGTTTTATAATCCTGGCATAAGAAAACAAAACTGGCTTCCAGGAGAGCTGCAATTACAGTGTCAGAGAGCTACCTGAAGTCACTCACAGCACTAGCTTTAGACAGAACTTTCCAAGAAAGAATCCGAGATATTTAACAGACAGACAACACTACCCGGCATCAAACTACTTGCAATCTCCTAAAATCATCTTAGCCAGAGTCTTCAGACTGGAGCCTGGTGCCTAAAGGCACAGACTCCTGCACGAAGTTTCCTTGCTTACTTGCTGCTATCTGCAGATGCTGACCATAAGGATGCCATTAAATTAACACTTACAAAGCAATTTCTGAAGAATGTTTTAACAATCTCTCTCAGAAGGGACCACGTATGCATAACAGCCTCTGTTCACACTGTGGAGCACCTGCTAAGCAACGTTGTAGCAAAAATAACGCAGAGCACGTGTAAGAAAAAGAGAGCCTTATGTTCAAAACCGACCCATTACACTTTGAAAAAAGTTGAATGCTTTAGTTCCCTTATTTTAATGGGTCAGATTTCACTGGTGTGCAGTGGAGAAAACAGGTTGAAAAGACACTGTATTCCTCTACTCCACTCCTTCACAGCAGAGCTCCCCAAATGGCTCTGTCCCCCACAGTGGGGCAGAAACAAAGCTACCATCACTAAACTCTTAGTCTTTAAAGTGACTAGGGCAATGGATTAATTGCCAAGAATCATCTGCAATACATTTAGCACAAAAGGGACAGGACGGAGAAGCATTTATATCCCAAGCACTATGTGCAATTCCCTTCAGGTTGTCAGCTCCTGCAAAACATAAGAGTTCGATGGTATGTGGCAAAGCACTAAGGAGGAGGAAGCTGAAAACAGTAAATTTCTGAGAGAACCATCAGACACTTAAAAATAGAGACTCTTGTTCATTGTACTCTGCACCATTTAATCAGAAAATATGCCACAAAACTCAGTTAAACTCTATTACATTAAGAACAGTGCGAATCAAGAATCTTCCCCTTCCCACATGTAAAGTAAGCTGTAAAAGTGGGAGTGAGGTGTTGGTGCAGACTCGGTGTCATAAAGAAGCTTAACACAGTAACTCGAAAAAAACCGAAACAACTCTTTAGCTACCTCTGGAGTGTCGATGTCTTGCACTGGTGAGTCACCATCATCATCGCTGCCTTTCCTCTTTCTTCTATTTCTCACACTCTGAATTAAATTTTTGTGGAAGTCACAAATGTACAGATGTCTTGCCTAGAAGAATAAAACGGCATCTTTCAATCAAACCCATGTAGCGTATCTGCCGGAGTAGAGTGCACGTAGATAAGACAACCCTTAAGCACCCACAGCCCACATTAACTGGGTTGAGGAAGCTTTTCTACCGGCTTCTTCTAAATGGAGAGTGCGCTGCGCTGCAGCTCCCTGCCACCGGCTGGGCCCCGAGCTCGCTGAACTGCTGCCCTCGGCCGATGCAGCAGCGCCGGGCTGTGCAGCCACGCAGCACACACAGCACACACAGCCCTCCCTCCTCCTTCCCTCCCTCCGGCCGCGCATCGCACCGCGGGGGCCGGGCAGCACGCACACAAAAAACAAGCTTTCAGCTTTCTCCGCAGGGCTAAGAGACGGCTCTCAGCTCCCCAGCTATATCCTCCCCTCCTTGTTTTACTTCCGCTACCCGGCGTGGTCACGCAACACACTTATTTTTACTTTCTTTCTTTTTAACAACTTTCCCTTTCGTGGGGATCTGCACGCTTCGGGAGATCTGGGCGCGTACCAGCCCGGGATCCCCAGGTCCGCGTGCTTTCAGGGCAAATGAGAGCACGGGGCAGCGCTAGGCACGGGCTGCAGAGCCGGCCCGGGGTCTCTCGGGGCGCACGCAGCCCCGGCCCGGGGCGCTCCCGCCGGCAGCCCCACGCCGCAGCCCGCCTTCCCCTCCCGCGGCAGCCGGCGAGGGCGGGCGCTCTCCCGGCTCCCGGGCAACCCGCCGCGCTGGAAGGCGGCCGGCCCACGCCCTGCCCGGCCGAGCCGAGCCGAGCCGCGCAGCGCGGGGCCCGATGGCTGCCGAGCGGAAGATAAAGCGGCACGGAGACGTGCGGCGCTGCAACACGAGGCGGGGCGGCGAGCGCGGCCCTCGCCAGCAACACAGACAAACTAGCGCGCCGGGAGCCATGCAGGCTCCGCTCCGCTCCGGCCAGCGGCGGCGCTTCCCGGCCACGCTTACCCCGCTCCGGCTACAGGGGGGCACACGCAGTCGATGCCCAGGTTCTTGTGGCTAGAGGGGACCCCAGGAGCAGGCAGGAAAGGCGGGCGCTGCCCCCCGCCCGGAGGGACTTTCAGCCAGCGCTCCTGCCGCGCCAGCCAAACTCGGCCGTGCTACGGAAAAGAGGTGGAAAGGGGGAACGAACACTTCCCCGACGCCAAACACCCCTCCCTCCCCACTAAAGTTGATTAAAAGTCCCCCAGACAACTAAGACACAGATGCAGCGACCTACCGGCCGCTTTTGTCCGCCCGCCCCGCCGGCTGCCCTGGCGCGTCCTCCCCTCGCGGACTTACGCTCTTGTCCAGCTCGATCTTCACCTTCTTCTGCGAAATGCTCTTCTGGATGCGCTTGCTGAAGCTGGCGTTGCCGGCGGCGCGGCCGCATCGCTCCCCCTCCTCCCTCAGGCAGCACAGCTGCCCGGCCCCGGGGCCGCCCGCGCACCCGCCGCCCACCGAGCCCGCGGCGGCGGCGGCGGCCGGACCCAGCCCCGGCGGCGCTGGCGGCGGCGGCACCTCCACGGCGGAGCCCGCACTGCCCACCACCGCCGCGGCGGCGGGGTCTGCCCCGCGCTGGGTCACCTCCTCGGGGGCGAAGCCGTTCATACCCGGCGCCACCGCCGCGGCCGGCGGGATCCCGCCCCGCACCAAACTTCCCCGGCGAGGCGCCGCGGCCCGGCGGGGGGCTCCCCGCTCCCCGCCTGCCTCCCTTCAGCGGCGGTACCGGGGCGCAAGTCCGCCCTCGAGGGCGGTCAGCCCACGCGTCACGGGAAGGACTCTCTCCGCTAGCAGCCGCCGGCCGAACCCCACGACTACCGGAGCGGCGGCGGCAGAGCCCCGCGGGCCGCCCCACTTCCTCCTTCCCCCCCTGTCATGTGGAGACTCTTCAGCTGTTTCCTATGTAACAACAGCAACCTGCCGCCCCGCCCCGCCCGCCCGCCGCGCATGCCGGCTGCCGCGCGCGGCCCCACGGGAAGCGCAGTCCGTGCCCGGCCGGCGCGGCCGCATCGCCCGGGGAGCGCGGCCCAGGCTTCGGCGGGGGGCAGGACACGCTGCGGCAGCCGCTTCTTTTTCCCGCGCCGCGCTCCGCTCCCTTTTCCTCCCAGTCTGGAGGCTGGGCCCGCTGCAAAGCCCCGTGCGTCAGCCTCTCTTTTTCCCCCTTCCCGCGCCTCCTCGGCGGCTCCGCCGTGGGATGTGAAAGGGCGGCCCCGGAGGGTGTCGCGGGTCGGAGCTGCCGCTGGCACGGCCGAGCGCGTACCCGCGCTCCTAGCGACGCGGGGCCGGCGGCCTCCGCCGCCTCCTCCCGGCTCTCGGCGGCGCCTCGCTGTGCCGCAGCAGCTCCCCCCGTTCACTTGTTCTCGCTCTAGTGTTTCAGCCGCAGCCGGCGCTGCTCGGGCTGCTCGTTCCGGATCGTCTGTCTCCTGCCTTCCCTCTCGGCCTCTTCCTTCCCTGCCTCGCTGCCTCCTTTCTTTTCCGCTTACTGCCGGCCATGGCTGGCAGCGGCTCCCGGCGCCCGGAGAGGGCAGGCGGGCTCTGTCCGGGCGCTCCTGCTCCTCCGCCTGCGGGAAGCAGCTCCCCGGGAGCCGCAGCGCAGCCGCCGGCTCTGCGGCTCGGCAGAAAACCAACGGAGCTCCGGCCTTTGTCAGAGCTGCTTTTACAATACACGTAGTCAGGGCTCCGTCCTGCGTTCCTGTGGCAAAGCCCTCTGAAGACAAAGGCGACTTACAGTGCGAGTTCCCAGTTTTGTCATTTAAAAGGACTGTTAGTAAAGGTGACTGTAACAACAGAAAAGCATTGAGAATGCAGAATTATTTTCGCTAATGATGAACCAAGACCTTGCTGTGCACACGGCTAGGTAAAATTGACACTCTGAGAATGCTTGACAAAAGCAGGTATTTTTAGTTTTGAGGCTTTGCAAAGCTACATAAGAGATGCGTTGGCATTAAATCATTTAACAATTCAGCTGTTGACAGCAGAGTGGCAAAAGCAGCAAGCTCTGATCTGCTGTCCTTTCAAGCACATTCAAAGGAGGCACAAGGAAGGGAGAGGTTTTGCTTTCCCTTTGAACTACCGCAAATATTCCTTTAAATCTCAGAAAACGGCATCTGAGCTGAGCGTGCTCAAAGCGCAATGATTTAATCGCTGAAATATTTGACCGTATCGCTTGCTGTGCATTTCCAACTTGAAGAAGGAGAGAAGTAGCAGGGAGGCTGGTGAATAATTCAAGGAGACACAGATCCTGCGTAAGCCAAAGTTCTGCGTGAGCCGGGAACACGATTATAGCGCAGTTTCAGTTTGTGCTGCAGATGGCTCCTTAATCTGGTTGCGTAACCGGGTATTAGAGAATAAGGGTCGGTCCCACTGCCGCGACTGAATGAAGGATACAGTAACTGCAGCTACACTGAGCGTAAAGTCACAGCAGCTATCCACGAGGCACGTTTTAGTGATTAGTGAGGGGGATAGGAGGAGAGTTGGAAAAAATACTGATCTCTGCTTTGTTATCAGCCAGGCTGAAGATTGTATAATACCTAGGTTTAATTCCACGCTCTGCTGCTGAGCAACCTCAGGCAGCAAAGGTTTAACTCACTTTTTTAGTTTCTTGTGATTTCAAACTTTCAAAAACTGTAATAATGTTAAAATGAAAAAGAACAAAACCCCCAATAACAATCATAGCAGACGTTAAAATCTGGGAAAAGTGGGACAAGGGTGAGTTCCAGGAATTCTTCACTGGAAATCTGGGTCATGAATAGCAATTTCTAGACTCTTGGACTATGTCTTTTGAGGTCCTTTTGGTGTTTTTTTTGAGACGGATTTGACCTTACTGTGAGCATAAAATATGTCTATCTGGGTCTGGCTGCTGTTGTTTGGTTTGATGGAAAGATCACTTGTGCATTTTAAATGTTTCTGATCCTCTTTGTACAGTTTGGGAGCAGTTAAAAGCCTGATTATGTTACCCAGCCGTGCTTGCCAAGATGCTAATTTATAAGCGTAATTTCAAGTAAAGTAGTATCATAGTTTCATGATTAGGTCATGATAAGAGAGTCGTGGGACTTAGAAAGATGGTTCTGTTTCTGCTGTAAGCTGCTCCTTTTCACACCTGTGCCCTGTGCCTCTTTGTGCCCGTAAAAACATTGCTGTGGCTGCACAGCAAACTCTATTGGGTTACAACTAGGCTAGCAACAAGAAAAATAGTTTAGATTTAATCCTGCTCTGCTTTACCGCTCGGTTGCAGGATGCCTCAGCACACAGGATGGTGCAGTAGAAGGGCAGGATTGTGACTGGGGATGACCACCTCATTTGGTATGAACACCTGCTTACAGTAACAAAGAAATCATGTCTCTTTTAATAACATGTGGGATAAAAAATACAAAGAGCTGCAGCTACATGGGCTTATCAGACAGTATGAAGCTTACTTACTACAAAATGGATTTGCAAACTTTCATGAAGCTTGGGCTACATGAAATAAAAAGAAAAATTATTGTGGAGTATGTTGTCTAAAATGACAATTTTTTAACATAAACTCTAGTACTGGGTACTGTAAGTAGTCAGATATAAATAAAGCATGTATGGGGGCATATTTTAAATAAACATAAAAACATGCAGCATTGCAACCATAAACTGATTAAACTTCAAAAATTAGATCAGTTCAAAGGAAGCAGCAGCTCCAAACCAACTACCCTGTACATGACATGTCACTAGTACTCACAGCAGAGCTGAGTAGTACAGAAGGCAGCAGTAATCTGTATCCCTTGGGGGTGCCAAGAACACAGCATGGATGACTTGTGACACACAGAACAGAGCAGGAGCTACAGCATCCCAAAAAGTCTGAATTCAGGAGCTACAGCATCCCAAAAAGTCTGAATTCACAGCTCCCAGGCTCTGAAGTCAGTGGGACTCAGTGGTCCCTCCTGGCACCAAGGCAGGCCAGGCACAGGTGGGAGCCCAGCAGCTTGTTCTTCTCTGAAATGCCATATGTCCCAGCTCCTGTTAGCTTTTGATTGATGTGTTTTGTAATTTGAGAGAGAAGAATGATAATCAGATACATCACCTTGGATATATTGCAAACACATTACTAGTAATCAATCCTGGAAGATAAATGTAGCTCTTGCAACTTTGTATGCATTTCCATGGCATAAAGTTCAGCTAGGGAAGATGATCCCCTTCCCCAGCAGGTACCGAATTCACTTGAAGTCCAAGGGTACATTAGTGCACTTGTGTTCAGCACCTGAAATTATCCTGTTAGCAAAAGGAATAATGAGGAAAACTATTGGTATACATTTTTCTCGGCAAATACACATTTTATTTGTTATGTATTATAACTACTTCAGTGAAAAAAAGATTCCTTTAAAACACTTGAGAAATTCTGCAAATTCAGACACACCATGGTCATTTTAATAAAAAAGCAACCTATTTGATAAGCAAGCATTCATGGGCTGTGATAAAGAACAGTGACCAAATCTCTCCTTCCTTACCAGAAACAAGTGCTATTCTTTTTTTCTCCTTCTCTTTTTTCCCTGATTTTTAATACCTAATTTTCCTTTCCCACTCCAGCACCACCTACCCTGCTATTGCCTGTGGCTGTGCTTCTAATTTATGGTCCAAATTTGTTAAAGCACAGACCCAAAGCATAGGAATATTGGAACTTACCTACAGACTGTATTTTTTTGTTTTACTTCTTTACATGTTTTAGGCTAGGATAGTTAAAATATAATTTCAGATAATTAATTGTATAACAAAACCTAATCTGTATTAGTAGTACACATAGACCTTATTGCATATGGTTCAAGAACTACAGTAATAGAAAAAAATATCATAACTTTTACCAGAATTATCTCCAGGTCTGAATCCAGGTGAATCCAGTCTTTCTTTTATAGGCTTTTGGCCTTGTACAATGGAAACTCAAGATGTATAAACGAGTATATATAACAAAGGCTTTTATTAAAAGATTTAAAGCAGTAAAGAAGGTCCAAAATGACACATTTTATTTTAATAATAATTTAGGATTAAAAATGATAAACCCATACACTGTAAAAGCTTTAAAGTTTTGTAATACACTCCCCTTAATGGTTTGTGCAAATTTTCTTTCATAATAAGCCATTAGTTACAGGAAGCATGAGAGGATCTTCTGGTAGAAGGCATCGTTCTTATGTGCAAAAATTATGTTATGTTCTTTGTTAAATGTACTTGACAAATTGTTCATTAGTGGACTTAAACAATGAAAGATGTGTTAGGAGAGGGAGCTCAAGCACAATGACCACACAGAAGCAGAGAAGCCAACCTCCAGCTTTGCCTTAGGTGCCCCTCAGTTTCTACACCCCTCCTCCTCAGAAGCCTCCACTGAACCCAAGTGCACCTCTTGTTACTGATCTCCTGTTCATCCAGGTTAATTTGATTAACATTTTGTTTGACATTATATGAGATCTCACAGTCAGAAAGAGACTCCATTAAATCATCACTCTTGCTCTTCAGAAATATAAAGCAGCTCTCTGAAACATATTGTGGAAAAGTATCACCCCCAGAGGTTTTGTGTAATGCAATAAAAATTTAACTACTAGTAATATACCAGTGTAGTATATTGCTTAAGATGTATTTTTCAATCCATTGAAATGAAATGAAAAACTCAGATTTTTTTCCCTGTAAGATTAACTGTCATACCTTTTCAGTAAATTTTGCTGGTCTCTAACGCACTCTTGATACTACAAAAAGCACTCTACATATTGTACATACTGTACTATGTGCTACAGTCTTGCATTTTGTGAGCTACTGTTTTCTTGTTATAGAAATTCAGATTTGACAATGGCTTTCACCTCTTGCTTTGTATAACACATACTACACCATCTTCAGATTTCAGGTTTTGTCAGAGGATCCTAGA